AGCCTGTCACGTTTCCTGTTGATCTTGGGACTGTCTCTGGACTTGAACTAGTGGCCTTCCATGTTGTTTGTTAATCTTGGGACTGTGCCATTTTGTTTGTTGAACTTGGTTTTGTCAGCCTCAGCAGCCAGCAGCTGCCTGAGTTAAGAGAAGCCTTCAGCTTTAGTGGGCCAGGAGAAGAGTCAGAGGTGAAGCCCAAGGTTGAGGGTCTTTCACCCAGCCCCTAGAGCTGGCATTTTCAACTAGGACTTCTAGCCTGCAAAACTGTAAGAGAATAAACTCCTGTTTGTTGAAGCCATCCATTTGTGGTATTTCCATTGGAGCAGCACTATAGAACCAAAGCAGAGAAGACAGATGTCATGCCACATTAGGTCTCCAAGGAACCAAGAAATGAAAGTTGAAAAGAAGCTCAGAAGTTCTTCCAGAGCCATCAGAAACAGAATGCCTTCCTTCTAGAGACAGAACACTGAATTCAGACTTCTACACTCCTTGTGTAGAAATTGTGAGAAAATAAATTGCTGTTTGTTAATGCTATCCACATGAAGTTATTCTGTTATAGTGGCACTAGATAAGACAGAACCCTATATAATACTAACCACAAGATAAAGGAAAATTAAATGTAAGGAAATGAAAGGTATGTAAAATAAAGTTGTTGCTATGTACTGTCGAGTTGGACTTGACTCATACCAACCCCTCCTTGGGTTTCTGAGGTATCACTGTAGAAGTAGATTGCCCCATCTTCCTTCTGAGGAGTGGCTGATGGGTTTAATTTTCAGCCTTATGGTTAGCAGTCAAGTACCTTAGGCACTATGCTACAGAGCTCCCATGTAAAACAAAGTAGATTAGTATTTTTATAGACATGTGACATAGATCTTTCTAAGCTTTAAACAAAGAAAGAAGATGGATAGACTTTGCTAATAAAACTTTATTCAGAATGGTGGTTCAAACCCACCAGCCATTCTATGAAGAAAGATTGGGCAGTCTATTTCCAAAGAAATACTGCCTGAGAAACCCAAGAAGTAGTCACTAGGAATTGAAACTGACTCAATGGCAGTAAGTTTCGTTTTTGTTTGGTACATCCAAATACTAAATAAATACATACATTTAAAAAAAGAAAATCACCTTGAGAAGAAGTCAAACTATCCTTATTTGCTGATGATATGATCCTA